AACCACTCTGGGTTCTCCTGATCCGTTCCCCAAAAATCATCCAATTGCAATTTATGAGTTTTTTCGGTATTACTTCGCCTAAATTGTTCTGTTATTTGCGTTAAAGAGTAAGTGAATTGCGTGGTCAAAGTGGCTATTAAATTTTCATCCGCAGTGCGTTCATTTACGGTAACGGTTGACTGAGAAATATTCGGTAAAGTATTTGCAGTACTTATGTTCATAGGTGTTCTAGGGAAATTTTTTGACATTGGATTTTCAGGTCGAAAATCCGCGTATTCCGTACTCAAATCTAACGCTTCGCGCTCTTCAGAACGTTTTTTAAGTGAAGATTCCATTTTGACTGAATAAAAATAAAAATTTATTACTATATATTTTTTTTGTGTCACCCTGTACAAAAATTTGAAATTTTTTTCTAAAATTTACTAGGTTAGTTACATGAAATTGAAAAAAAAATTTTTTTTCAAACTTATTGCTAAAACATAAATTTTTTAAATCGCCCTGTATCGTAAATTATGCGTTTTCTGGTAAATATTTGAGAAATTCCGAAATTTTCACTGTATGTTTGTTATGTTTTTTGGGCGTTAGGTTCGACTCAATAACTCTTATTAAGTTTTCGTGTATTTCGAGCCTCGCGTTTGGGCGACATGTTATTATACTTGGGGGGGTTATTTGTATAATATACGGTTTGTAGAACCTAGGAAGTAAAATAAGGACTTTTGACCGGTTTTTAGGGTGCCATCTGTTATTTTTATAACGGAAAAAATTAGGTAAGTTCTGCTTCGAGTGTGTTTGGTCAACATTAACTATGCATGAATGGTAACTGAATGCGACTGAATTTGTAAGACAAGTTATGATTCCTTATTTCGTTCCGCGGTTAATTTAGGATTGCGCCGGCTAAGACTCTCATCCCTTTTTCCCCCTTTTTGAGTTTATAAAAGATAAAGTGTATGAAATCTAACGGTAAAAAACTTTTTATTAACGCGTGTATTCAAATAAACGAACTGGCGAATAGAAACTGGCATGCACATACGCTTAGGTTGTATTATAGGTTTGTACGAAAAAGTTTATTTCAATGATTAATCAAAATTTAATAACAAAGAAAAATAGCAATGAATGGACTATAGGCAATATTTGACTAATTCTAAATTGACTGATACTGACAAAAGACTATGTTTGACTAAAATTGGGTGAATGAAGTATATATGAGCTGTATGAATAACGTCAAGTGAATGGATTATATATATTAAAAATTAGATTCTACGCTGAGATTGTTGACGTTGTCATGCTTTATGGGTTTGCGAACAAAAATCACAGACAAAGAAACATATAGTCACTTACCTTGAGGAGTCTCTGGGTGGCACCTGACTTCCTTGCTGGCCTGAAGATGGTGAGGTAATCCTTTGGGATCGATGATGCACACACCACACGAGGAATATTAGGTAGGGTTTTGAAAGGATAAGACAAATGTTTGTTTAAAACCACGTTAAGCCCAGTGATGGCTGTTACAAAAAGGAGTGAAGAAAACACTTAATTTTCTGCTCGAGAGCGTGAAAGATTTATGGCTAGTTTTGGAGGGTTCACACAGTATATTATCCGTTTATCGTTTATGGTAATTACACTTAGTTTTTAAGTTATGTAGTTCGTAGAATGTTTGTAGCACTAACACTATTTGTTAATAAGGTCTGTAAATGGTACAACTGTTTATAGTTTATGACACGACTGGAAGGTGACGTATTACTATACACTACTGATAGTTTGTTAACTCGACTTGTAGTTGTTTGCACGATAGTTACTTGGTTTCACTTACCGTTTTTCGGCGAATGGTTGTCTTGTATGAGTGCAATGATTAAAGAACTGTCGCGTAGCGGACGATCGTATGATTGTAAAAGAGTGTAATAGTCAAAACGGGGATTCATGAAGTATGAATAGTAAGGTTTTGCTTGTAACTTGTGTTAACACGATAGAATATGTTAATGACACACAAAGACTAAGGAACTGGAGTTGTTGTAACGTGAAACGTACTTCGTTCGTACGCGGTGGCGGGATAAGAACTAACTAACTGATTCCGGCGAAGTGGCTTTTATGCATATCGCCGAGGTAAACGTAGGCTCCGCCTACTGCACATTTTGCTTCCTAGCGTTTCCATTGGTCGAAGCTCCACATATACTCTTGCGTCGCGATTTTATTGTCGCAGTCTCGAATGTGATTTCGTACGTATTTTCGAAGTCCTCGATGATAATATTTCTGTTCAATTTGGCGTAGGGTCTCGTTAATCCCCGGGTGAGTTTGATCGTGGTAGTGTTCAATGACTGACTGGATGATCGCCACTGGTAGAACTAGTTTAGGCATACCATCAACGATTCGATAAATATGGTGGTGTTCGTTGACGTTGTATCGTTCTAGTAACTTTTGTTCAGTCAGCGTGACGGGATGATTTTGTTGTCCATCTTCGGCGCATACGTTGAATAGCTCTGGATCGTCTCTGTGCTTGTTTGCAGGTCGTGTCTAGTTCGTCGATGGTCACAAGTGCTACAAGGTCAACGTTAGTGATCGATGACCCTTCAGGCAAAAGCAATCGGTCAATGGATAGATCGGGTCGGATAGTTTTTGGGTCGGGGTTTCGGCTTAAAATATCAGCAAGCTAATTTAACCGACCTGGACAGTGTTCGATAATATACGAATATTCTTGTAGGAGGAGCGACCATCTGGTCAAATTGGCCCGTGAGTCTTTGTATTTATGCAGCCACAACAAAGCATGACTATCCGTACGAAGTATGAAAGGTTTATCCTCGAGATAAATTCTGTATCGTTTTATAGCCCATACCACGGCTAAACACTCCAGTTCGCTTACATGATACCGTTTCTCTGTCGGATTTAATGTCGCGCTTGAATAAGATATAATAAGTGGGTTGTTTTGTTCATCTACTTGGTACAGTACAGCACCAAGACCTATTTCAGATGCATCGGTTTGTAAGATAAATTGTTTTTCAAAATTCGGTCTATGTAGCGAAAGAGGTTTAGAGATAAGAGTTTTTACCCGATCAAAAGATTGTTGGCAATTTTCATCCCAAACAAATCTCCGNGGAATTGGATTGGGAGAAGAGGCAGCATTGAATGATCTCCACGATTACCGGATTTATCGCCCCTTGATTTCTTTTTGTGGGGATACCTAAAAAGTAAAATCTATAAAACACAGCCAGCGTTGCTGGAAGAATTGCGTCAAAGAATCGTCGACTAATGTCGTCGAATCACTCCGGAAATACTTCAGAATGTGCGCAAACGTTTCGAACAAAATCTTTATTCTTGTATGGAAGCGGGTGGTCATCAGTTTGAACATTTAATCAACTAAGTAGTAAGTAAGCAATTAAACATAATTTAAATTTTAAAATATAAATTTTTTTCAAAGTATTGGGCGGAATTATAAAATTTAAAATCTGTTGTATAGAGAATTGTAAGAGCTTTAGAAAGAAATATTACTCAACCCCCAATGCCATTTAAATATTATGGGGTGATGCTTACCCTTGCTTGGGGGTGAAAGTGGTGGAGTCAAAAATACCAGCAAAGAATGTCCCCCTTTAATCTAAGTGGGTGGTGGTTTTGGGTGAGATCGTGCAGCTATGCAGCTTAGGAAGCGCTTTGCTAAGGTGGCCCTTAGGCTAGCGCGGGAGGGGAGAGTGGGATAAGGAAAGTAGGGGGGAATGTGTGTGTGTGTCGTCATTTTCGTCTCTTGATCCTGGCGGTCCTGAAACAGACAGAAAAATTTCGACTCACCCTGCGTCCAGGAATTGATGTCTAGGCCGCCTGCGTCTGTGGGCAGATTCTTACCTGGTTTCGGGAAGAAGATGACGTCAGCTTTCTTCCACATGGCGGGGAATCTTCGCAGTCTCATGATGGCGTTGACGATGTTGAGCAGCGCCATCACTCCCTTGTGGGGGAGCTTTCTGAGTATACGGTTTCCGATCTGGTCACATCCGGGTGCCTTGCGAGGGTTAAGGCGCCGCAGGATATCCCTCACCTCCTCGGGTGTCGCCGGCCTAATGTCGTCCCTGTCGGGTTGGCGTCTGTAGCGCCGTACGCGTCGTTCCACCTCGTCGGCGTGGTCCTCGTCTTCGTCGTCGAGAAGGTTTTCCCTACACTGTAATTCAAGGCTGTCGGCGAATGCCTTGGCCTTTTCATACCTAGTGTAGACGATCCCATTCTCTCCGTGAATCGGAGGCATAGGCTTCCGGATGGTCCTCAACGCCCGTTGCATTGTCCACAGGCTGCGGTCTTCGGGGTTCAGTGACTCCAGATGTCATTGCCACGTGTCCTGGTAGTGCTCCTCTAGGGCCGCTTTTACCCTCGGGTTCAGCTGGTTTAACGTCTGCTTATCCCGGGGATGTGCTGTCCTCGTGGCTCTTCTTTTCGCCGCACGTCTTTCCCTGATTAGGTCCTGCAACATAAGAGGTAACTCACCTGTATAATTCGCTATCCTTCTATCCGTCGTCTCCGTGGTGCTGGCTTCCAAGGCGGTGTGGATATCCGTCTCAAGGCTCGCGAGGGCAGCCTCGAAGTCCGCCGCTTCGCGGACGACCGGAATGGGTGCGCATATTGGTTGCATTTCTGCGCGAAATAGGCCCCAGTCGATCCGCCGCTTGTCAACGGTCTCCTCGTCTTCTAGAGTTAGGAGAATAAGAGCATGGTTCGTCGCCCCCTCGTAGTGCGTCGCCACGTCGGCAGCCATCGGTATTGCCCTGAGCAAAGCGATATCCAACACGTCTGGTCTTCCAACTGCACCGTAGTACGTCGGTCCATCGTGTCCATACGCTGCAACGTCTTCGTGGTTCTGCAAGAATTGCAGAAGCACCCTGCCCCGCGTGGTGGTGGTTGTGTTGTGCTATTCGGGTGATTTTGCGTTAAAGTTCCCTATAGCTACGGTTTGGGGCCACATCTCCAGGACTGCGCGTAAATCGTGATCGGTGAGCGGGAGCTGAGGGGGCTGATAACAGGTCACCACGGCGATGTCTCCGTACCTCCGAGTACGGATCGAATAAGCTTAATATACTTTTTATCTTACGATAAAACACATCAAATGGTTTGAACAGATTTCTGTAATATTAAATTGTTACTAATACTAATGCTTGCTAATTAATATTTACAGGTGGTGATGATGCAGAGGTGTACAGAAATAGAAAATCGTACTTTTCACTGAATGTAAATTTCTAAATGTTATAGCGAGGTGGCCCGGATCTACTCATGACGCAACTATTTTTGGTAATAGTAATATTAGGGCACAGTTTGAAGGACATCATTTTCCGAACTGCATTTTGTTAGGTAGATATAGCCTGTTATGAGATACTGATATGAAATAATAATGTTTATCTGTTTATTAGGTGACAGTGGATATCCCTTGACAAATTATTTTTTAACACCATTAGCCAATCCTGTAACACAAGGGCAACAGTTGTATAATGAGGCTCATATTAGAACACGGAATATTATAGAGAGGTTGATAGGCGTTTGGAAACGACGATTTCCTGTCATCGCTTATGGCATTCGCCTAAAACTAGAAACTGTGAAGACTGTCATCATAGCCACAACTGTTTTGCATAATTTAGCTCGGGAAATGAATGAGCCAGAACCACCTGTTACAGATGATATAGATGCTGAAGAATTAAATTATTTGATTGAAATTGCAGATATTCCGAATATAGCTCAGGATGATAATGTGCCTATCATTTATATTCAGCATATGTTAGTCAATCACTTCTCAAACATATAATAGTATATTATGCAACGATCATGTAATGATGGTTATTAATACACGAGCATTAACCGGGATACGAAACGAGCCGAAGGCGAGTTTCGTATGGTTTATGCGAGTGTATTAATAACCATTACATGAGAGTTGCATACGCTATTTTTTCTACACCCGATAAATAATCAAAAACCATAAATTTTATATTTTTATTGAACACAATAGGTAACAGTAATTATTCGTATTTCTATAAAAAAAATCTACAAAATTGTAATTAATACCTCGGGTATTGGTATTGCCATAGATACAAGAAAACTATAAACATTTTATTTGTATTTATATTCAACATATAATAATTGTAATTAATCCGATTTCTTAAAAATATTAAGATTATTTATTGTGCAGTTTGAAAAGTTTATTCCAGGTCCCACTGATCTGGAAGTGGAAGGAATATTTACATTTATTTCATTATTGCTAGTCTCAATAGAGTTCAATATTGTATTGGAAATGCTGATTTTATTCTGAACCGAATTTTCAATGTAGCCTTCTGCCACTGAATTGGATTTCCAGCCACCATGGCGTTTTAATGTAGTAATATCACCACCGGCATCTACTAATACGGTTGCAGATGTCCTACGAAAACAATGCCCTGTATATAAATTCGCAGATTTAAATATGTTGCTATTTTCTTCCCTATATCACCAAATTTATTAATACCAATGTTTTGAATTGTGCATTTTCCATTTAATAATTAACGAAAAAAGATGGGGTGTGGCAAATTTTAGGCCGTAGATTCATATATTTTTTACTAATTTCGTAGTATTTGCCGGTAATTGTAAATGTTTGTTGTACTTTTGTTTTAGTTTCTATCACATTAACAATTAAGATTCCATTCATATATTTGACATTTTCACATTTTAGGTCATGTAGTTCATGCCTTCGACATGCTCCCATTATTCCAAAAATCATTGCTACCTAAAAAAAACAACAATAATAAATAAAGAGAAGAAAAAAAAAAGAAAAAAAGAAAAAAAAGAAAAAAAAAAGCAGGATGCCTAGGCTGGTTTCGAACCCGGATCTCATACTGTAGTTTAGTCCAAATTGAGCGCCTTAACCCGCTCGGCTACGAGTTCGGTTTATTAATTTACTCGAAATTAATGAAATATACCTATCATGCATGAGTCGAATGGAAAATGTCTTCATGAAATTTTTTTTTAAAATGCAATGTTAGATAGATACTTAAGTACTTTTAAAAATAAAAACCGTTCATCGGGTGCTTCGTCGATAAACGTTTTTATTTGTTCAGGTGAAAATATGTTTGCTTTTTTTCCAACATATCCTTCGGACTTTCGCTTTAATAAAGCTTGTATTTTCTTATATTTAGAAATGTTTATATTATGGTTTATATTTACCAACGTTTTTATTATTGAATAATGTGTCCATGTACTAGATGATTTCATAGTTTCCATCAATTCTTGAAAATAAGCAANTATTAAACATAAATCTGACTCTAACAATAGGTTAAAAGCTTGCGAAAGGCTGTAATATTGACTGTATAGGCTTTAATGTCGCAATTAGAATTTAGAGCGTCCCACACAGAGACTGGATTGTAACCGGATTCGAAACCTTGTCGATTTTTTCTCTTTTCGCTCTGGTTATGGCTTAGGACTTGGTTTGTGTTACTGGACATCGGACTTAGGACGTTGTCCGGGATTCTTGGATTCGGAGTGGAAACTTGGGTGAAAATCTTACTTTCTCTCCTGACAGCGGCTTCGGCTTCAGGATTAGAAACATTATGTAAGTTAATGCTTTGCCTTCGATTTCTTATGTTGGAAATCGGGCTTGGAGCTCTGTGCTGGACTTTGAGGTTTGGATTGGAAACAGTTGAAATTTTTACTTTTGCTCCTGACAGCGGCTTCGGCTTCGGAGTTAGAAACATTATGCAATTTAATGCTTTGCCTTCGATTTCTTATGTTGGAAATCGGGCTTGGAGCTCTGTGCTGGATTTTTAGGTTCGGATTGGAAACATGGGTGAAAGTTTTACTTTCTCTCCTGACAGCGACTTCGGCTTCGGAGTTAGAAACATCATGCAATGTAAT